GTGTCCCTCCCTCAGCCGACTCTGCCTGTGGGCCTCAGGCCTCAGAATTACAGGAATAATCTAGACGTCGCTTAGCACGCTGAGCCCAAGCAGACTCGTGTTCCTCCTTCTCAACAAAACGCCTTGACTTAGACTTTAAACATAATCTTTGCCGAAGTACTAAAGAGCAGACATAAAACATGAGTACATTTCTCCGTTCAGTTTTCAGGCCAAATTAAGATATTTTGCTGGGTTTGCTAACTTCACCCTTCAGAGGCGGCGCTTGTTTCGTGCTGGAGGTTGATCTTCATGGTTTTGAACCCTCGCCCTTTAACTTTCCATTGCTTTCTTCTCCCACAGTTTTGCCGAGCCACACGTGCGGGAACCCCGGGGAAATACTGAAAGGCACCCTCCACGGGACACGATTCAACATCGGGGACAAGATCCGGTACAGCTGCCTCTCGGGCTACGTCCTGGAGGGCCACGCGGTGCTCACCTGCATCGTGAGCCCGGGGAGCGGCGCCACCTGGGACTTCCCCGCCCCGCTCTGCCGAGGTAGGTGCCGGGGGAGGCGCCGAGCGCTCAGCCGCCAGGCCAAGGGCCCCGGCGCTGGCGAGTGCGTTTCCCGCCGGCGACGGGCCCCTGCTGGGCCTCCCCGGGCCTCCCCTCCGTTCCCCGGCGCGCGGCCTGTGTGACCCAAGAGCCCACGGCCGCCCTGCACCGTCAGCAGTGTGTGCAGATGTTCCCTAAATGTCCAGATTTGCTTCCGTCCTGTTTCTCAGACCCTCTGAACCTGAGCCGTTTGTCACCTCTGGCCGTGGATTTCTCGGCTTTAATACGCACCTTGATGTCCACCTTGATGTGATGGCTCCTTTTTTATCGTTTTCTCACTAAAAATGACAGACAGCCCGACAACTAGATGTTGCGCTTGAGGGACTCTGCCGAGGCTCGGCCGTCGGGAACGCTCGCGGAGGAGGCCCGTCCCTCCCGGGGCGCGTCCTGCGACAGCATCGGGCCGGAGCCACCTCCCGACGCCCCGGGAGTTTCAGCCTTTTCGTGTTGATTTTACGGATCCAGAAACGAGGAAAGAGCAAACTTAGAGTCTTAGACTTTGATTTACTAAGAAAAACTCATCCTGCAGTTTCAAAAGTGGAAGCGTCGCTCGCATTTTTTAAGGTCTCGATGGAGAGGCTGGGACCGTGCGGGGGGCTCCCTTGAATCCTGTCATTTAATTCTCACAACACCACTGAATAAAAAATATTGACACATATCAAATAAACACCATTTTAATATTTAAAGGTTACACAGGTAGTATGAATTAACACTCAAGTCCACGTCTGACTTTTTTTATATGTTTTTATTTTATTTTAATGGTATTCTGTATTAGTTTCAGATGCACAGAGAGTGGTTAGAAAATCACGTACTTTACAGAACGGTCCCCCTGCGGGGCCCCCTTCCCACACCGCGTACAAGAATAAACTCGAAATGGATGAAAGACTTACATGTAAGACTTGAAAACATAAAAATCCCAGGAAAAACTCACGGGCAGTAAAATCTGGGACATGTCTCATAGCAGTATTTTTTCTGATAAATCTCCCTGGCAAGAGAAACAAGAGGAAAAATAAACAAAATGGGACTGCGGGAAATTAAACAATTTTTGCACAACAAGGGAAACGTCAAAAACAGAACATAAAGACCCACCGAACCCGAGAAGGTGTTCACCAGCCATGCTTCTGATGAGGGGTCAAATCCAAAATCTGTAAAGAAGTCAGAGGGTTCAACACCAGAGAAGCAACCGGCGCAGGTAAAAAGCGGGCGGAGGCGCCGAGGTGCCGCCTGGCTGCGCCCGCGGGGGCTCCAAGGAGGGACCTGTGCCGACGTGGGGTGGGCTCGGGTGAGGGAGGGAGGGTAGAGCCTTACCTCCCGGAGACCCAGGCCGCGGCCTGGAAAAGGCCATTCCCGCCCGGCCCTGCTGCGGAGCTGGCTGCCCCCCTTGGATTGCGCATCGATTGTATTAAACACGTCGCTATATATGTTCGACTTTCGGCCAACGGACGCCTTTTAGGAAACCAGGACTTGCTGAGGAAGAAAGCAGCGGAGACCTAGAGACTTCATTTAGACTTGGTCTCCGTGCGGTGCTGTTAGGAACGTAACATCAGTGTTGATATGACCCGGCCCCGAATTCAAGGTTCACCCTGACACCTCGGGTTTGCCGACCAGGAGTCTGATTCCGTGAGGTGCGGGGGTCGCCCGTGAGGCTACAGAGACGGTGGCAATGCCGGGCTCGGGGTCCTCAGGCAGCCCCCGCGACCCCGGGCGGGACGGGGACCCCCCCCCTGCTGTGGGGAAACATGATCCGCAAACCACCCAAAACATCAGCGAACGGATTGTTCTGGGCGAGGAAGGCGCCTCTCAGCGAAGCTTCGGCCTCCGCCTGTCTAAACGGACATTTAAGCTAAAGATTCACCTGAATGTGCCCAGACACAGCATCTCTGTGACGTGACAGTTTTACAGAGTGTAGGATGTGGCAGCTATTTGGCTTTTTTGAAAAGAGTTGACTGATTGTACCCATTTCAAGACGGCTGTACATCCTGGAAGCACCGACGGTGGTTAGCAAAGGGGCAAAGAGCTGAAACCAGTCAGTCGATCTCAGCACGGCCGTGAGGAAAAGGTAAATTATCTGGGCCCCTGTTCCCTGTAGAGCTGCCGTCTGAAGCCCCACATCCCTTTAACTGATAAGCCTCCCGTAAGGCGGCTGGAAGTGACGATATGTCCCCGCCGATGCTTTATGAGATGTCACTCGGGGCTTTTAATTGCAGACGGCTGCTGCTGGTGACCAGGCCGCGCAGCCGGAGGGAGGAGAGGAGCCCCTGTGGGGCCGGGAAACCCCGAGGCCCGTAAAACAGCTGTTTTCACTGGTCCTGTGACAGAGGGACGTACAATGAATCGTAAGGGGTCCCCGTGTCCGGGCCGCGCCCCACAGAGCAAGACTGCCTGGGACGAGCTCCGTTCAGGGCGCCGGGCTCTAAACAGCTACAGCGGCTTCCGGCGGTTCCGTCCTGAGCACTCCCTTCCAGGCTCTGCGGTGAACGGCTCTAGGGAAACCTCGGCAAAGCCGAGAGGAGAACCATTAGGACAGTCAGCCTGTTCCCGCGCCCCCCTTTATGCGGCAGGCTCCCTGCTGGGCGCTTTTCCACATCAGCTCCTTAAATGCCACCTCGTCACAAGTTTGGAGCGTTATCCTAAGTGCCGCTACGCCGATTATTTTCAGTTTCATGGGTTAAATCACAGTGTTTTCCCATGATGTCATCCCGTGCAGGCACCACCCTGCGTACAGGGCTGGGTGTGTCCGGTGCCGAAGCCCACCGGTGCCCCGTGGGTGGCGCTCACTGTGGCAGCGAGGAGCCTGCCCTCGGGCCCGGCCCCGGGCCTGCCGGCTGGGGCATCTCGCACACGCTCTTTCTGGCAACGCCTCCGGTTCGGAATCTGCTAAGTGGAGCCAGCACCCCTCTTAGTCTCCAGGACCCAGTTACCTGGGGTGCTCAAGGCTCGGTCGCAATGACCTGTGACCATTTTAACCCTAGTCCTGGAGGAGCTGAGGGGTGAGAGGAGACCGCAGCGGGCAGCCCCGCCTCTGCAAGCTCTCGGGGTAACGTCAGAGCATCGTGCGTTCATCTTCCTTTTATTAGTGTTACATCCGCAACCCCTCAATGTTAGCTGAGGGCTTTTTGTTCTCAATGTCCTCATAATTATACCAATTAATAGAAGTCCTCGCCCTGTAACTTCCCGTAACGGGTGTTTACTCCCACGCGTGACTGTAATTAGCGCCTCCGCCCGGGGTGCCCCCTCCTGGCCCAGCGAGTGACTCTAAGAGCAGAGTCCTGGGGGGCTGCCCACCCTCTGCGAGCTCCCGGCGGCAAGCGGCTCCCCACAGCGACTCTCCGTGTTGGACGATCGCCTTTGAATTCGTGAGACGCTAGCGGCATTAAAACGACACCGTAGCCTGGCCGGCGTGGCTCAGCGGTTGAGCGTCGACCTATGAACCAGGAGCGCAGGGTTGGATCCCCAGTCAGGGCACAGGCCCGGGCTGTGGGCTCGATCCCCAGTCGGGGGCGTGCGGGAGGCAGCCGGTCAGTGACTCTCTCATCATTGATGTTTCTATCTCTCTGAAATCAATAAAAAACATATTTTTTAAAAAATGACACCCTAAAGCTGCTTTAATTGGCCCCTGATTTCCAATGGAACGTGTCTCTTACTATCTGTGGCCCCGCACGGGTCCTGGGAGGGGCCTGTGAGGTGTCAGGAGCTCTCAGCGGTGAGACCAGTAAATGGCTCTTTCCAGGCCAGACAGTGAACACTTGTGCTTTTCTGGCCACATGTGCCTGTTTCTGCTGCGGTCAGTCCTTGCGTAGAAAAGTCTCCGCAGATGGGACTGGAGCAGAGAGGCATGACCATGTTCCAGTGAAGACCTCTCTGCAAAACCAGACATGGGGTGGGCATGGCCCATCGGCTGCGATTTGCTCATATTAGTTCTCGATGCTGAGGTTACAAAGTGAGAAAAGCAAAGTACCAACCGACGTGGAAATAATATCCGATGGACGGAGACGGACATGGAAATAATATTTAATTTCCTACGGATGGAGACAGACAACGTAATTGAACAGATGAGCGCAAACAAATTGAACATGTCACGCCCGACGGCAACTCCTGCTCAGAAAGGACTTTGTTGAAAAAATTATGTTTGATTAAGAGCTGGGGCGGCCAGTGTTCGGTGTCTCAGGACTGCCCTGCTTTGGGCGCCCGAGGCCCCGGGTCCTAGGAAGCTTGTCTTTGGCGGAAGCAGGTCGTTGGGGCCCCTCGGGGAGGTGAGCAAGGAACCGTTTGGGGACATCAGGAGAGTGGGCGAGGTAAGGGGGCAACCAGGGCTTTGGCCGTGAGGCCGGAGCCCAGGGCGAGGGCAGAGTGGACCGTGGCGAGCGGGGAGCCGTGTTTGTCCCAGAAGATGGGTGGGAAGGTCCCACGGGGCCCAGGGCCCGAACTGTGGGCTTCAGCTTCTGTCCTGAGCAAAGGGGGGGCACTGGAGGGTTTTGAGAAGAAGTGGCATCATATCCTTTAGAATTTACGGGGATCGCCTGGCTGTTCTTTCGAGGAGAGACGACGGAGGGAGAACCCGGCAGGGAGCTTGGCCACAGTCAGGGCGGACGTGATGCGGCTGGATTCAGAGACCAGTTTGAAGAGAGGACCACGGGGATTTTATTTCTCAGTAGCTGTGGGACGTGGGAGCAATAGGAGAGCCACAGGCGGATCCGTGGCTTGTTGTTGTTTTGCCAGGGGAAGAGCGGAGTTGAGGTTTATTGAAATTGAGAAGACCGACCCTTCCCATGCGGAAAGGGGAAGACCAAGAGTTTGATTTGGGGGCTCTGAGTCTGGAACACCATCCAGACGTCCGTGTGGCCACGTCACGCAGGCCATTGGATGCGCAAAGCTGGAATTCAGGAGGGAGATCCGGACTTGAACTAGAAATTTAAAAATGTCAGCAAATGAGTGGTGGTGAG